TGTATACATATAGTACTCGATCTCTACTTTCTATTGATAAAAAAATTTAATTATATTGGGTAGCTTTAATACACGGCTCAAAGGAAAAAAGTGGTGCGAGACTTTTGACGTGCACTCTAGATGATGTGAGTCTTTCTCTTTCCACGCGCATGAATAAAAACAAAAAAGTTTTTCGATGCGAGTACAATTTATTCAATTGAAAAAAATTGTACACGATTATTCCAAGTATCGACGACATAGAGATTGCCTTGTCGATCGAAAGACAATCCGCTGGGAGTACAGAGTTGATTTGCTCCTGCTCCTTGCCCATGTCCACCTACAATGACAGTGCCTTGCGTTGCTCCTTTAGTCCAACGCATTACTCGATGATTTGCCGAATCTACTACATAGATGGTACCCATCGTGTCGACGAAGAGTCCGAAAGGATGATATAATTGTGTCAGAGCATTTCCTTCACCATGACCTCCAACAACAATCACACCTTCTTTTGCACCTTTATTCCATTTCATTACACGATTATTGCTGCTGTCTGACACGTACACATTCTGTTGTTGATCAACGAAGATGTAACTCGGAAATCTGAGTTGATTGAGACCAGCACCTTTACCATTTCCGCCAGCCACGATAACTCCGTTCTTGTCTCCTATTTGATACCGTCTTACTTCATGTTTTTCGATCTCAGAGACATAGAGATATCTCTGATCATCCATGCACAATATCCCACAAGTGATGTTGTCAATGAGAATTTCTCCTTGAGTTGTGTCATTGCGACGAGACCATCGCACGATTCGTCTATTCCCGATATCGCAGATAATGAGACTATCAGTCTCTTTGTCAATTAGCACATTGCTTGTGCGATTCAATTGATCCAATCGATTTCCTTCGCCATTTCCACCAGCTACAACTTGTCCATTCGTATCATCCATCTTCCATTTGACGATACGATGATTGAATTGGTCAACAATAATTATCGTTTGATCATCATCAACGAAGAGACTTGCAGGCCAGAAGAGCTGATTGGTGGCATTGCCCAGTCTATTTCCTCCAGCAACAGTCTTGCCATTCTGTGACCATCGAGTATCGATTGGAATAGTGGGAATAACTACAACGAACAAAGAAAAAAATCGTCATTATCGAAGAGATCTTCGTGTCTCGTACACGAAAAAGTATTACAACTGAGACAATCTTGTCTGTAACCTAACCTTTAAAAAGAAGGACTTCATAGGAAAATGTTTTTGATGTCGAGAAGGAAAAAAACTGCTTAACATGAAATTCTGAGGAGATCTTCATGTTCTAGTTTAGTATTAGATCGAGAAGCAAATCTTATGATCCTTTCAGCGGTATTCAGTTCACTTCCGTGTGATATAGGATGTTTGATAGAAGAAAAAAAAATGATGAATTGAAATATCAAGATGCTTAAAATCTTGTGCACTTTAGTATCTAGTGATAGATGTTCAAAAGCGATCTCTATAATACATTAATCAGGATTTGTGTCTGAGGTTACTCTTTTAATTGTAAATATTCTTTTTTAAGTAAAATAACTTTTTCAATTAAGCACAAACTCATTTATTAAGCCTGTTTGATACTCGTGATGCAAAATCATCTGAATATATTGAGTAGTTTCATTAGACTAAAAATGCTTTCATTCAAATGATGAAAACTTGTTATGGATGTGTCCAAAAAAAAGGAAGGTTTTTCATTTTTTCCGAATTTTAAATTGGTTGTAGATCAGCTTTCTTAGTAACAACAAATAATTATTATCATACATGAACATACTTGTTAAAGCAATATTGAAAATAGCAACAACGACGTCTAATCAACATAACATAACTTACAAACTTTTTCATAGAATCTCTTAATCTGCACTATATAAATATATTTAATTTGTTTTTCTATGATTTTCTGAATGGCATTCGAATCTACTGTTATCATTATAACATAACTAGCGAGAGCTCGTGCATACTGCACGGATCCGTTTTTCCTGTAAAGTTTCACATCTGTCCCTTAGCCTTGATTCACTAATAGACAATCAGACAGTCCGCATTATATATAGAGAGAAACCTTATAGCCTTATACCGTCGTAGCCTTATATTCTTGTGGTATTGCTTCCTA